GAACAAGACCTTTACAGCATTTATTATTAATTTTGGTTAATGTCAGTTTCTACATTACTACATTTTAACAATTAAAGTTATACATTAACGTGAGTATATTATGAACAAACATGAATTAAAGGGATAGTTCACCCAAAAATGAAAATTTGATGTTTATCTGCTTACCCCCAGGGCATCCAAGATGTAGGTGACTTTGTTTCTTCAGTAGAACACAAACGAAGATTTTTAACTCAAACCGTTGCAGTCTATCAGTCTTATAATGACAGTCAATGGGCTCCACGGCTTCAAGAGTAAAAAAAAACATACACAGACAAAACCAAATTAAACCCTGCGGCTCATGACGATACATTGAGGTTTTAAGACACGAAACTGAGCGCGTTCACAACATCCGGCGCGTGACACGAGTATATGCTCTGGCATAGTAGACATAGATATATATAAGTAGATGCCTCATTAATGACTGTTTCTATGGGCCGCGATACGTTCCAAAATGGCGGACGCGTCAACGTATCTGGAGCGGTCGAATAGGGAATCTATATATATCTATGATAGTAGACGCATGTGCGGAAGCAATCTGTCGTGCGTATACGTCACTCATTATTTACACAGTGCAGAGAGATTGCGGACGTGTTCACTGGCACTGCGATGATCTAAAGATATTTAGAAGTACAAGTCATCACAATGGAAGATGATTTTGATATATCATCAGACAACGTGGAATTTTTTGCCCAACCGTATTTATTTGATGTCACGCGCCGGATGTTGTGAACGCGCTCAGGACAGTTGGACATTGCGGTGGATCTGAGGTAAAAAATTATATAAGTACTGTTCAGTTTCTTGCACAGACCAATCGTTTCGTGTCTTAAGACCTCAATATATCGCCATGAGCCGCAGGGTTTAATTTGGTTTTGTCTGTGTATGTTTTTTTTACTCTCAAAGCCGTGGAGCCCATTGACTGCCATTATAAATATGCATCTAAATAAATGCTATATAAAAGCTATATAAATGCATCATTCATTCATTCATTCATTCATTCATAAGACTGATAGACTGCAACGGTTTGAGTTAAAAATCTTCGTTTGTGTTCTACTGAAGAAACAAAGTCACCTACATCTTGGATGCCCTGGGGGTAAGCAGATAAACATCACATTTTCATTTTTGGTTGAACTATCCCTTTTACATTGAACAATAGAATTTTTCAAAATTAACATTACCATCGATAAATAAAACCATTTTGATCATTGTTAGTACTGTACATTGACAACATTATTGAGCTAACATTAAAATAACTTTAATGTTAACATTAATTTTAACTAATGTGATCAAATCGAACCTCATTGTGAAGTGTTATAGCTCAGCATAGCTCAGATAATTTGATCTTGCAAGGTTTTGCTCAAAATTCTAGTTCATATTGACTTTTGATTCAGATAATCTGTTGAGATCTCTAGAGAAGACATGTGCAATTACTTTTTTTTTCAGGGTTTTCACTTCTTTCAGAAAGTTTAAAATCAAATGAAATGATGAAGATTATTGACAGCAAACTTTATATAGAGAGATGAAATCTGGTTTCAAGCCACCAGCACATAATTGCTGCAGCTCTTTCAGATGGATGTAATGTTGGGCTTCTTGCGTAAATGTGAGGTAATGATCGTTCCTCAAGGCATTGGCGATGAAGGAGGAAAAGAGAGAAGATGCAGAGCAGAAATTAAATTTTTTTTTTTATTTCAGATGTTTCTTGTAGCAGGACTGTAAAGGTTTGCTGGTTTTAGCTGGTGTAATCTGGTTCCTAACTGGTCTCTTAGTCAGGTCAGGCTAGTCTTTATCTTCATTGGTCTCTCAGCTTGACCATCTAATAATTACCCCAAACCCCTCTAAAACCGATAAACCAGACCAGCTTGAACAGGCTGAGAGACCTAATGCTGGTGTAGGTGTATTTTTTTCTCAGAAAGGAGAGAAAAAGAGCTGATTAACGGTGTGTGAAACAATCATAAATGGGCATTTGATTCTTTGCTTCATGGTCTCAAGAGGTCTCCTCAAAAGCCTGATATCATCAAGAGGCGCCTGACCAGTGAAAAATCATTCAACTAATCCCTTTCAACTGCCTCCTGAACCCCTGTTGAAAGCCTGTGAGATCAGTTTTGCCCAGTGCCTTGGACATAAACGGTTTTCAGGGGTTTTTTCTGTATTTTCTGGACAGCTCAGAACATTGAGGTTGCCACAAAAATGTTCTGTCCAACAGCAGCATGGATCTTGTCCATAATGCCTTTTGCAATGAGCGTATGGCACCCGGCCTGGCTGGTAGAATACTGAAGGTACATCATAGCTTTCCTCCATGAGGATTTCAGGCCAAGAACACCGTTTTAAGTGATGATGTGATGGATTTAAAACCATTTATGGCATACATATACTCGCACACTATAGTTTCACACACTACAGTGTTCATTTTATGTGCATAAGTTTTAAGTATCACTGTGGTGAGGACATTTACCTTGAATCAGTAGGTTCTGAAGTGGGTATAATGCAGCAAAAATGTCCTCAGCATCACAATTTTGTGTTTTTCCACCTCATCTGTTTTACAATTCGGTTTCAGCTGCCCCAGAATTAGAGCTTGATTTAATTTTGCTTTTCTTCTTAACAAAGTAGATGGACTGTGAAAAGAGCATTTCCTTGAATTCCAGAACTGGATTTCTCATCAACAAAATGGAAAAAAAATGATGGTCTTTGAGTGTACAGAGCAGTCCTTTTTATCAGCCGTTTTTATTTCAAATCCAGTATAGTGTTCTTTGTAGTCATTTTTATAAGTGTGTTTTTGAGTGTTTATTATGCCCAATTGTGGAAACATGTCTTCACAAGGCTTGTAAACTCTAGTTGAGTGTGGAAACAGGCAACCAAACCATGTTCCACAAAGCACGTCTTGTGTGATCGATGTTTTTCCACAATATGGCGTCTGTTCCCTGTCATTAGATGCCCCATAGATATCACTGATGACATGGTCTATTTAGCCCAGAAGGACTGAATGTACTACTGGCGTGATGTGTTCTGTTGACTAAATATGCGCTGTATAAAAAAACTGCTTGCAGTTTTATATTGCCAATCATCCTATAGACTATAAGATAATTCGCTGTGAACCCACTATTTCCAAAGAATGTGTCGATTAACGTAGACTGACGTTGTTCTTCGTTTAATAATAAAGAATGTAGTATAGCACACAGACTTTATAATCGTTGTGAAATTGCTGTTTATTTCGCTTGCATAAGTGTTTTTGTATTTTATGTCATTATTATAAGAACGGATTGGAGCACTATATTATTGTTCTATGTAAAGGTGCTTTGTCAAATTGGTAGCGCTCGCTAACTTGCTCAAGGACTCCTCTCTGTACCAATCACAACAGGCTTGGCCAGCTGACCAATCAGAGCAGAGTAGGCTTATGGAAGGGAGGGGTTTGCTCCGAACTTGCTTGGAACGAATCGTTTCGAATATGTGTACATTTTCAATTGAGTGCTCAAAATATCAAGTTTTTGTGCTAATATGTGATATATACCTAAGTGCAGCTTTAGGTTTCCAGGTAAAGCACGATATTGCTGTCTTACTGAAGTAACGTCAATATTAGGACACTTTAAAATACCATATGACCTGCTCTTTAAGTAGTAGAAGTTATAAGCAGTAGTAAATACAATTTTTTATTGTTTTTGCAAACTAAGGAACTCTGTCAATTGAGCTTAAATTGTTTGAACCCAGAACATATATTTAATCATTGCTGTCTGTATTATATTCATTATTGGTTTTTATTTTAAGATATAAACAGGCTGTTTTTGCTGTACCTTGAAGTCTATATGTTAATGATCTCTGTCATGATTGGTTAACATCTTTTCATGTGAAATGAGTAAAAAATGTCCCTGGCAAGTTGCTTTAGAGATTAGCTTAGGTCTATACAGCCATTATGAAGCCAAACAGAGACTGAATCTTCAACAACAATAAAACGCTGAAGGTCAAACCGGCAAGCTTTGTCTGTAACATTACTGATTTACATTTACTCACACTCAACTTTGTTTTTCTATTATTGTATGGATTTAAGGTGTGAATCTTTAGGCTTTTTTAACTGAGTCCAAAGCATTTTTGCAAATGTTTTTGTTTGATTCAGCACATTTGATTCATTGTGATTAACAACAATGCAATTCAGTATTTTTTTTTAATACATTTACAAGATTCTTGCCCTGATGTGTCTTAGGCAAGAAAAAGGAGTGCTGTTTATTGCACCAATTGATTTATTAGATGTTTTTGCATTTTAAGCTGATTATGGGCCAACACAAATTATTCATAATTTAAATGTCGCATTTTAAGATTTATGCATATGAAGCAGTGTTAAATGAATATTTAATACGCCTGATCCATGCAGTGTAGACGATTTCTAATTTTACTATGTTTGTGAGGACCAAATATTGGCAAAATATGAGGCGCATGCTAAGCAGTTCTATTTTGTGTGACAGAATGAAATATCTGAATACTGTATCTGTAAATACTGTTAAAATGATTTGTAACTTCCTCATTTGAATCCCTAGAAATGTAACACTATGTAAATACCATCAGTATGTACATACAACATCGCATTCACACTTGTTGTATTTACAGTGTGGAGAGTACTGTACTCTTCAAACAGGATTTCTGCCCCTATGATTTTTGACCTCGTCTGGCCTGGTCTACTAATCTCTTATTATAACTAAGTGTAACATTCAAGCTAAACATGCAGAGATCTTAGTTTTGTGTGAAGATGGGTGGATGTGTTTTTTTTCTTTGTCAGTCAGCCCACTTAACAAACGTACACACACAAAATTGTTTTTCCTATTATAGTGTTGACTCCCCTCCTGATTTTTTCCTACCCATGCCGTCCATCAATGTAATTGACATCTGTGACATTTCCATTATCTAAAGTGAATTTTCCCTTCCTTTACCCTTTCCTCTCCCCCAAACCTCCCTCCTTTCTGTCTCTCATTTTTTTTCAGGGCATGAAGCCAGACAGTTTTTACAAAGTGAAAGTCCCTGAACTGAAAGAGATCATTGAGGGATGCATTCGGATGAACAAAGACGAAAGGTAACTATAATGTCTACAAGGTCGTTCAACAAACAGGAACATCTGTAACCAAAGAACTGCAAAGGCGTGTATGTGCACCAGCAGTCATCGTAATGTTTTAGACGGGTTTTTACTGTGTGCACATTAAAACAACAATACCCAGATTCTTGTCCTTTTGACGTTTAAACAACTCCTCAGAGAGCCCTGCACGCCACTATTTTTGTTACCCAGCTGCACTGGTTGATATTTCTGTTCCGCCCTACATTGATCAGGTGACACATGGTTACAGAATCAACAGTGTCAAAGAAGCCGACATAAACTTCAGATTTTCTAGTGGTACTAGGCAGTGTTCATTTTGACAGCAAATTTTGATTTAGTTTTAGTCATAGTCTTTTGACTAAAATGCCATTTAGGTTTAGTCATATTTTAGTCACCTGAATTGTTTTTAGTTTTAGTCTAGTTTTAGTCGACTAAATATCATAATATTTTAGTCGGCTAAATGTACAGTAAATTTAGTCGGCTAAAATCTAATGGGTTTCGTTACAGTGTAATGACTCGTCAAAACGGACAATTCGACATCATTTTGTGTGTAATTCTCCATTCATGCGAAGAGTAGGCCTACTCACGCGCTGTGAGACGCGTTTCTGTGTGTGTATGCTTCAGTGTCTTGCAGACATCTTTATTTCTATAAATAAATTTAGATTAATCTTTAGGGCTACTAAAGTTTTTCAGTCAAGAGCAGTGAGTGATTTTCTGTCCTTTTTTCATTGGTTGATTAACATCAATGAATCGGACAATAGCAACTAAATTAGGCTGCTGTCCCTTTAAAACTGAATGCACAGCTGCAATGGATGCAATGTACTGATAAATGTTCTCCCTGCTGTTTACGTTCACTTAAGACGTAATCAACTGTGTTTACGTGAACACTCGTCAAAACGGACAATTCGACATCATTTTGTGTGTAATTCTCCGTTCATGAGACGTGAAAGAGTAGGCCTACTCGCACGCTGTGAGACGCGCTTTCTGTGTGTGTGTGCTTCAGTGTCTGCGCTCAGAAAACCGGACCGAATTGAG